CGCCCAACAACGGCGGCATAATAGGCCAGCCGTGTAGGCGGAGGCACCAGTCGGCGGCGACGGAGGCAGGCCGGCGGTGAAGACGTAGACGCCCAACAGCGGCGGCATAATAGGCCAGCCGTGTAGGCGGAGGCACCAGTCGGCGGCGACGGAGGCAGGCCGGCGGTGAAGTCGTAGACGCCCAACAGCGGCGGCATAATAGGCCAGCCGTGTAGGCGGAGGCACCAGTCGGCGGCGACGGAGGCAGGCCGGCGGTGAAGACGTAGACGCCCAACAGCGGCGGCATAATAGGCCAGCCGTGTAGGCGGAGGCACCAGTCGGCGGCGACGGAGGCAGGCCGGCGGTGAAGTCGTAGACGCCCAACAGCGGCGGCATAATAGGCCAGCCGTGTAGGCGGAGGCACCAGTCGGCGGCGACGGAGGCGGCCAGCCGTGTAGGCGGAGGCACCACTCGGCGGCGACGGAGGCAAGCCGGCGGTGAAGTCGTAGACGCCCAACAGCGGCGGCATAATAGGCCAGCCGTGTAGGCGGAGGCACCAGTCGGCGGCGACGGAGGCAGGCCGGTGGTGAAGACGTAGACGCCCAACAACGGTGGTGTGACCAACCAACCATATAGGCGAAGACACCAGTCGGCGGCGACGGAGGCAGGCCGGCGGTGAAGTCGTTGTTGTTATCAGCAATGGCGGTGGCGAAGACAAGCCGGCAGAGTGGACTCGCGGCCGATCGACCGGAAAGCTGAGACGCCTCGAGTCCATGACCAGCATCAATCGCCTCAATAGTGCCGCGTAGTTATATGCGAACAACAACAAAAAATAGCAAGAGATTAATCTGAGATTAAAAATCAATATGATAAATAATGATAAAAATCAGATTGAGTTTCCCCCTGACTGATTTGGATCAAGTCAGAGAAGAGGAGCTTGAAGAAGTGGTCGACGGAAAGGAAGTGAAAACTCCCAAAGCGAAAACGAAGTCGGCGACTCATGAAATTGATTCCATCGCGCTCGTTGATAGGAAACTCGGCGCAACCCCTACCTGGCGCGCCAACTGTCGAAACATGATTTCGGCAATAATAAAACGGGGTAGCGCACGAGACCTAAAAGTGGATGGATGTGGAGACAAAGGATTTAGACAGGTTCAGGCCCTCTCAATGAGAGGTAATACCCTACTCCTGTTTGGGGATTTGAATCCGCCGAGTGTGTATTGATCTGACGATCAGGTTGTCTCATATATGCCCCCTAGAGGGCCTCCTGCCCACCTTATATAGGATGGGGGGCAGGATTACAAGATAGAAACCTTAACCAATACGGTATCGGTTTTCTAAATCAGGACTTTAGGCCGTTCCGTAATATACAAGGAAACGTAACACCCAAGTCATGATCTGTTACATATTACATAGATATAAGTTATCCCCTATAACTAGTCGGATAACCATGCCGTGTGGGTATGGGGTACCCATAATCTCCACAGCGGGGGCTGGGTCGTTCCAGCCCGAACCGTCCCATTGTCATTCCTACTTGGGATCTCGAGTACACCGGTTTTGTAAGTTGAGAAACGTGTTATATCTAGTATTACGGGAATAACGTAATTTGAAGTTTGCATTAAGATGAGGGACCTTAAGTGAACTTATTCCTCATCGTTTGGAGCGCAGGCTGGGCCTGGCCCACATAGAACGAGACCCGAGCCTGAGTCGGATTCCGACTCCGACTACTAGGATAGGGTTTGCATCCTCTATAAATCGGAGCCCGCCGCTGCTTCCTCTTCTTCCCACAATTCCCCAAGCATCCGTACGCCTCGACGTCTCCAAGCAAGGGCGGCAAGGCGAATCGCGGCGGCCGGTCAGGCGGAGCAGCAGCGCATCGAGCACATGGAGACCAAGGAGGGTGCGACGACGACCCTGATGCCCGCGGCTAAAGCTTTCGCCGGGGCCGGAGGAGGTGGAGACAACGTCGAGAAGAAGCCTCCTGTAGTGAGCAAGAAGGTGCCGATGCCGCAGGTCTTGCTCGACTACATCCTCTCATGGACGAGGATGGGACCATGGCCGAGCTCCGACGACCACTCGGAGTTCCTCCTCTCGCCGGAGCATCGCAACCAGGACGACGACGATGGCTTCGCCGCGTTCGAGGCCAAGGTCCGTGCGCAGCGCGAGGAGCTGTCCGCCTTCCTCGACAAGAAGGACGATGAGTTCGCCGTGTTCCAGGCCAAGGTCCGTGACGAGGTCGACGAGAACGGCTGCTACATGGTCGATGGCACCTACTTCGCCGATCTGGAAGCAGCCCAGGCTCTCTCCAATGAACTATTTGCCAAGCTGAACATGAGTGGCATCCTGTTCGAGGAGGACTGACTGAGATGCATGCCATCCTGATTGACAACAGTCAACAGGCTTCTTAACTGTCATGGTAGTAGTGGGCACGACTAATTGACAACAGGCTTAATCGTAATTGTTTAATCAATTATCTCTTGTTTATATTAACTAGAAAAAATACCCGTGCATTGCGACAAATTAGTTTGATAGCGCATGTCGATGGTACTTTCTTCCTGTGCCCATTCAATATTTATTAAGCTTGCATGTACAAATGTTCAGTTTCATATATCGAATGCAATGTATTAGGGCACATTAATTATATCTTTGAGCATGATTCTGTTTTGCCATTACCTTTATCTCAAGTCGTAAGCATGGCGCGACGTCTCCTCCCCTCCCGGTGTGCAACCACATCTCCTTCTGTTAATTTTTCATATATATATATATATATATATATATATATATATATATATATATATATATATATATATATATATATATATATATATATATATTTTCTACTGGTTTGCTGAAATGCAAATTAGTATTTTTGTTTTAGGATTGTTATACTTACCCTCGCAATATGGTAGATAATTGGATAGGCAATATGGTAGACAAGCAGTTTTGTGCAACTTATCCTTATTGATTGTGGTTATTGTTCCAAATCTGCAGTGATGTAAGAGGAAACAATCTCACAGGGACCATTACAGTGAGCATATATAGGGAGCTGCACTAGCTTTGAGATTTTGTATGTTCGATCTTGCTAATATTTCAGTGATATTTCATTGTTCATGAGTTTCAGACACCATGACGCGAACTTCTTATATGCATTGTAGGGACATTTCATATAACCAAAAGTCCAAAACTCTGGAGAAATACCTTACAAAAGTCTTTCTTCGAGTAGCCACACTATAAGAATTCCTTAGTTATTGCAAATCTTCTAGCTTGTTATGTGATTTTTCGTTCGTATCTTCTCAATGTTATAGATGCTTACTTACAGCCTCTATGTTGTGCGCTTTCTATTCGTGTTACATAGGTCACTTCAAGAAATAGAATGACCGGAAAAATTCCAGATGTGATTGGCCTTATGCGGGTTCTTGCTGTTCTATGAGTAGACCACAACATTTTAATCCATAGGTTCAGTAGTTTCTGTATGATTAGATAATGAATTCTTATATTCAAATTTTGATTCTCAGAGACCTGAGTGAGAACGAGCTGGTAGGTTCTACTCCCTCCTTCCCTAAATATCTGATGCCGTTGACTTTTTTAAACATGTTTGACCGTTCGTCTTATTCAAAAACTTTTGTAAAATGTGTAAAACTATATGTATACTTAAAAGTATATTTAACAATAAATCAAATAATAGAAAAAGAATTAATAATTACTTAAAATTTTTTGAATAAAACGAACGGTCAAACATTTTTAAAAAAGTCACCGACGTCAAATATTTTGAGATGGAGGGAGTATTTCTTCAATACTGGGCGATCTATCCTAGATTGCCAAAACTGTTAGTATCATCGGATAGACTTGCTTTTTCCCTGAGATTGTTTTCTTATCTTGAGCAAACTTACTGGAGTCATACCGCCGGAGCTTGGGAACATGAGTAAATTTAAAATTATGCTGTTACCATTTGTGAGCAAAATGAGCCGCAACATGTTCTGTTAATTTATTATACAACCATTTTGCTGCGCCGTACACCCCAATATACCTTCGTTATATGATTCTTACTTCTAGTAACAACAATCTCCATCGAAACAACCATTGCCCATATTTACACTACACATCACCAAATTCAGCAGGTGTTATGAGCCCCGGCGTAAGATCGAATAGGATATGGTAATTTAGCGACGAGCAGAGGATGAGAAACAGAGAAAGGAGATCTGAACTGACTTAATTGATTTCTCCCAAAGTTGGCCTCTAAATAGGCTTACAAATCTTAACTGAAATGTCTAACAAATTATGAGTGAAAAGAGGAAATAACAAATCTAATCCAAACTGAATATATCCCCGGACTGTAGCTGTCCGGCAAAACGACTTGCGCCGGCTTCCGCGCTCCGCTGTCCACGCCGGCTTTCGTAGACGATACCGACCATGACAGCTAGGGATGGCAATTGTGCCCGTTTGCCCGTTTACCCGCGGGTAAAAACCCTATTAGGGTTGGGTTTGTTCTCCATTTTATACCCATGGGTATCTTATTGGTTCAAAAACTATGCCCGATGGGTAAATGGGCATGGGTATGGGTAATCACTACCCATGCCCGCTTTACCCGTTTACCCGCGAAATCTAACTTACATGTAGGCTAGGAGTAAAATCCACTAGAATACATAAGCCACGTTCTTTGTTTTCTACGGTTTCCCTTTTATTTCCCTTATTATTTCTCTCCTCTTACTCTATCGCCGCCAGAGGAGAGACACGACACCGAGGCGGAGAATATTTGATGTTTTAAGTTCGATTCGAAGTTAGTAGCTTGTAGACTTTTTGTTCCACTGCTTTTGTTGTGGCGGGTAAACGGGCACGCCCGTGGGCATAAGGCGCCCGCGGGCAATGGGCATGGGCAACCATCCTTACCCGTCATGTAGTAATGGGTATACCCACGGGCACAAATAATCTCACGGGCATGGGTATGGGTAGGCACTACCCGTGCCCGTCACGCCCGATTGCCATCCCTAATGACAGCATGCAAAAAATATCAGACACCCAAATGATGAAGAACTCCCTTCTTCCTTCCTTTTTGGCAAAGACAAGAGGCACAATTTGCTGTTCTTCACATAGAAGGGTAATGTATCAACCCTGATTGATTGCATACACACACGGTGTGCTGAAACTTCTTCAATGTGCCATCACACCTGATATATATATTCAGATAAAATCATGATGATGGTGACTACGGTGGCTTTATTTCATCATTGCCTTGCCGATGGCCTTTACCCATAGCTTCTTCCTCCAAGTGCTCTTTCAGACCTTCTTTGTAGGACTCGACATAGTTCTTCAGTGCATCTGTGTAGTTTGAGGCGCGAGCCATGTACATCCGTTGTAACGCATTCTTGGCTTTCTCTGCTCCGCCCTTTAATGCGCCGACAAGGTCTTCAACCGTAGTAGGCTCGCTTCTTCCCTCCTCGGTGTTGATGTCAGGTTACTCTTTGGCCTTCTTGTAGTTGTAGTCATTTGGTCTGATATCAGGGCCAATGTCTCTGACCCAAGAAGCCCCATACAGCCTGGTTGCCTCCTTCAGAATGCACCACTTGTCTTTCCAGGAGAGCTTTGGCCGCTTCATGCCCATCGGTACTGCAGTGTTCTCTCCTTTGTGTGGTCCGACAATAGATTAACCTGCACCACAATGAAATGTTGTCAAGCATTAAATTTTTTTTAGCTCCCTTGTTCTAGATTCTAACATGAGACATGTAAAAGAAATGCACCGTAAAGTTGGTATGAATGCCAGAGCTAACCAAGATTTAAGCATATAAAGTGACTAGGGAGCTAGCAATTCATCAAGCTGTGCCACAGGAAAGGTACAGAGCCAACTTGTTAACATCAAGCATTCAAGCTAATCTTCTAGAACTATCTAGTATCCATGTCTACAACTAGCTAGAAGGGATAAATGTCGCCATGTCAACATGTTCTACATTCACATTTTATTTCTCCTCAGGTGCTTATCACCTTGTAAAACACCTCATAATTATTCAACATAGATAAACTGAAGATTCACAATGATGTCAGAGAAAAGCTACACACGGTGATCAGTGGAACACCTGATGAAAAAACTTGGAACACAAGGAGAGTTTTTGGTGCTGCGAAGCAGCAGCTTTTCTTTATCTGATATTGCAACTTAAATAGACAAAACAGAAACTAGATCGTGGCCTTGATGGCACTGCACATGCCACGCCCGTCCACTTCTTGTGCCATCCCACACATCAGGGCGTGCTGCGCCATGCACTAACTAAACAGAACACAAGAAAGAAATGAACTGCATGCACAAGAATTATTTGCTAACAAACGATTGAAAACTTATAATTTCAGTCAATGTATGTCGATATCAGTACTAGTTAACTACCTAGCCAAAGTTTTAGTTTCAGTAACAGTGTGTAGAGCACTAGAGCTAGCCCTATATTTTTTATTCAAGAGGCAGAAATGTTTTCATGGAACTAGAATGTACAAAATCGACACAATTACAGGGAGCATATATACAGCATAGAAGTATTGCAGTATAGTGGTCAGTCATGCAACATGGCATTGATTTCCTTGAACAACCCATGCATGTCAGAACCTCTGACCAGTTACGACGTCGATCGATCTGTGTCCATACAGGCATACACTACTCCATGACCTAGTATTCCCCTCAATGCAACTGCCCTAGATGGGCAATAATGTATTCTCGGCACTTAAAAACTGCCCTATAAAGTCCTGTAGCGAAAGAGAATTCCTAGCAGATTTTTTTTCCCTAGCAATTAACTACCCTATAAACACGAGCATTCCCGGCACATAGTTATATGCCTTGCAATTAAGGGGAATTTAACTATTTACCACTTTTAGGTTTGGCAATTATCCAAATACCCTTATTACGTTTGCTCTTTTTTTTTTGCCCCTCTTAGATGTGGCATCTTAACTATTTACCACTTTTGCCCACGTGGCATACCAACGTGGCAACCCAGGTGACAAAATGGTGTGGGACCCACTTGTCATTCTCTCCCCCCTTCACTCATTTCTCTCCCCCCCAGCTATTCAGGCGTCGGCGACGCCGGCGAAGAGGCCCAGGCCGGCGTCGAAGGAGAGTTCAGGGAGAAAGAGATGAGTGAAGGGAGAGAATGACAAGTGGGTCCCACGATGTTTTTTCACCTGGGTTGCCACGTTGACATGCCACGTGGGTAAAAGTGGCAAATAGTTAAGAAGCCACATCTTAGAGGGGCAAAACAATATGAGCAAACGTAAGAAGGGTATTTGGATAATTGCCAAACCTAAAAGTGGCAAATAGTTAAATTCCCCTGCAATTAACTGGCCTTGATGCTTAGAGCATCCCTGGCATTACTCTGAATTAGATGCAACCATTACGCCCTTGTTTATCAGTTATTTCCCTGGTAGATAGTAGTTTTACTGGCACTTGTTTGTTTCAATAATGCACCAAAGCAGTACACATGGGTCCAATGTACACCAATCCAAATTAGTACCAAATCAGCCCACAAAATCAGTACTGTGTTCATTAGCTTTCTTCCAACAACTTTTTATACACTTCTTGCAAGGGCATAGTACTATGTTCTCTTTGGCTAAATGGGTAAAAGCAAATTGTATAAATTCTTTGACCCCCTGTATCTATTTAGATGTGTGCCCTACAGTTCTTTTATGGAAGTTTAGAGAAGATCAATGAATGGAAAAAACACATGTACGCTACATTAATTGTCAGGTTACTATGTACCTAGGAAGGTCCATCCATCTCTTCTGAATTTTTTACATTTTGGTCCTTTTAGAAAACTTATTTTACAAATAGACCCCTAGAAAAACTTATTCTAAAAATGGTCCTTTTTGGTGCGCCGGAGAGGCTGGCGCCATCCTCCAACATGGTGGCGCCAAGTTGACGTCATGCCCGTGCCACCCCGTAGATGAGCCGGCTGACGTGGCAAGAGGGGGGGGGGGCGCTAGCCCGTCCTAGTGCGCTCCCCTTGGGTGAGACACGCGGGCCCCACCCCTTTCTCCTCCCCCTAGCCATTCGCAGCTCTTCCCAGTCCGAGCCAGAGCAGTGCGCTCTCCATCTCTCTCTCCCCCCTCACCTCTCCTCAAATCCACTCAATTTGGAGGCCTATTTTCGCGGGATTTTTTGTGGAAACCGAAGAGCAAGGTATACACCTCCATTCCCCCCTCTTTTTTTTCGTTTTAAATGGTGAAATTTGTAGATTGGAGGGTAACCCTAGAACCCCATTTTTGCCCAAATTTGTGATTTTCAACATCCAATTTGGGGATTTGCTGATTATAGTGCTACATGTATGCAATGTACTCGTTAGTGCCACTCTTTTTTGAACTATATATGTGGTAATGGTAATTTGGACTTTTAGGTGGTTTGGTTGGATGGATGGAAAAATTGACTTGAGACATGAAAGAAATATTTTAGGTATGAATTATACGAAGGAGGGACGAATTTGGTAGCATTATAGAAATTTATTAAAGTTAATTAGAACTAGGTTGGGTTGTATGACGGAGTATTTGTAATATTTTGATGTTTAATGCACTAAAAAACTTGTTGGTACTGTTGGATGTGGATTAAATATTTTTCGTGAAGTAGTAGCTTTGGGACAATTTAAGTTATGCATTGGTTATAATTTGTCAGTTTGGACTATGTTTAGGAAGGATGATGTAATTTTTGGTAAAGTCAGATTTTATTTTTTTTGGTGTAGATGGATAAACTTGTTAGTGTTTACTACGATGGTAGAGTGGTGGAATCTTACGTTGGCGCACATGTTGAGTTTGAGGATATGTCATTTTGTTTCCGACCCACCCGACTCTATATGAACTAAGATCGCGAGTGAAAGAAGTTCTTCAATATATACTTATGTCCTTGACCAACATCGTATCTCCCATAAATACGAATCTCTACATTATCCTCGGTCCATTCAAGAACTTTCACTTAGGACCTTAGTTCATCTAGAGTCGGGCGGGTGGAAAACAAAATGGTCTTCAATGACATATCCTCAAACTCAACATGTGCACCAACATAAGGTTCCACCACTCTACCACCATAGCAAACACGAACAAGTCTATCCATCTACACAAAAAAATAAAACATGACTTTACAACAAAAATTACATCATCCTTGCTAAACGTAGTCCAAACCGATAAATTATAACAAAATCATAATTTAAATTGTCCCAAAGCTACTACTTCACAAAAAATATTTAATCCACATCCAAAGGTACCAACTAGATTACTAGTGTATTAAACATCTAAGTATTACAAATACTCCGTCATACAACATATCCTAATTCTAATTAACTTTAATAAATTTCTATAATGCTACCAAATTCGTCTCCTCCCTCATATAATTCATACCTAAAAAAAATCTTTCATGTCTCAAGTCAATTTTTCCATCCATCAATCCAACCAAACAACCTAAAAATCCAAATTACCACATATATAGTTCAAAAAAGAGTGGCACCAATGAGTACATTGCACACATGTAGCACTATAATCAGCAAATCCCCAAATTGAATGCTGAAAATCACAAATTTGGGCAAAAGAGGGTTGTAGGGTTACCCTCCGATTTACAAATTTCACCATTTAAAACGGAAAAAAAGAGGGGGGAATGGAGGAGTATACCTTGCTCTTCGATTTCCACAAAAAATCCCGTGAAAAAAGCCTCCAATTTGAGTGGCTTTGAGGAGGAGAGGTGAGGGGGGAGAGAGATGGAGAGCGCACTGCTCTGGCTTGGGCTGGGAAGAGTTGCAAATGGCTGGGGGGAGGAGAAAGGGGTGGGGCCCGCGTGGGTTAAGGGCACGGCCCACCCAGTGGGAGCGCGCCAGGACGACTGGAGCCCCCCTCCTGCCACGTCAGCCGGCTCGCCTACAGGGTGTCACCGCGGCACGGGCACGACGCCAGTGTACCTGGCACGCCATGTTGGAGGGCAGCGCCAGCCTCTCTAGCGCACCAAAAAGGACCATTCCTGAAATATGTTTTTCTAGAGGTCTATTTCTACAATAAGTTTTCCATAAGGAGCAAAATATAAAAAATTCAGTCCATCTCTTATCCATAGCTGATATTTGCAATGAAATTTCACATGTCACCTAAATTACTCTGTGTTTTAGTGGTGCTTTCTGCATGCCAAGTAAAAGTACTCACTATTGTGCTCATGAGAAAAGGATTTTATATATATATATATATATATATATATATATATATATATATATATATATATATATATAGGACACTCATATGGGGCACCATGGTGCCCGGGCACCATGGTTTCAAATGCACAAAATTACTCAAATTTTTCAAAATTTTTAAATTGTGAGTATATACCTAGTTATAAGAATTCGATTCATACATATATCTATCAACAAAACAACTCAAATTTAACTTTATTTCACAATTCATGATTACATACCTAACTAATTATATGTATAGATGCTATATACCTAGAATCAAAATCTAACAAAAACAAGTTCAAATTCAGTTTAAACTTGCTTTGAACTAGTTAGTAAAGTAGTTAATGTTAATACCTAAATAATTGAAAAAGTTTCATACTCATTTGAATTGGTTATATACTCAATTTCAACAATGGTGCCCGGGCACCATGGAGCACCAAACAAATTTACTATATATATATATGTATATATATATATATATATATATATATATATATATATATATTGCACAAGACAAATATAACACGAGGATATAACATTTCAGCCTTTAAGCATAGTACTCATGACAAGCTCGAGGGTACTAACCGTGGTACGATGTATTGTTCGAGACCTCCTGCTGGGTAGATGCTCAGCAACGTACACCTTAGATGATAGACAGCTAGGTCGATTGCAGTAGAATCGATAGTGGACCACTAAACTGTACCAAAAGCCACATAGTTCATATTTAGAAATAGATTATAATGCTGACTTAAAATTAAATACTTGCTTTAATAATTTCAGAGATTTCCCAAGATATCGATCTAGGTACAAAGTGCTAGAACATTTCAGTGGTTGCACAGCAGGAGACAAAAAACCCCTCCTCATGCACATTTCCAGCTCAGCTTAACATTTTAACCAAATCCTTATGTAGGAATAAAACAGGTAACCATTCTCACATGACTGACTTTCTTGAAACAAATCAACATCCTATAAAGAACTATATTCATCCATGAGCATACCTTATATGCAAACAAAATTGATCCATGAAGACAACCAAATTACCAACACATTATATATATGCCGGGCAGACATATAACAAATACTGTAGATAGGGATGAAACTATGATAAGTTGTATATCATACACTATATGTATATAGGAATAAATATATCTATAAGACAGCAGCAGTAGCAGCACATGACCTTTGTATAGTACTAGTATAAGTGTATAACTAACTGACAGTATATATGAGGCAAGACATGAATGTCAATATAGAGGCCCCTCTTGCTTGTTTCCCTTCTTCTGTGATCTCTTCTCTATCTCTGGTCCCCATGAATTTGACATTCTACTACTAGTACCTACTAGTAAGCTTCACTACTCTGTGCCTGCTCTGATCCATCTTGTTGCTTTGCATTGCCATTGCCCCTGTTTCTTGCTAGCTAGCCATGGAGACAGAGAGCTAATCTATAGTACTACACCCTAATTAAGTACATGTTGAATTTTCCGATGCACAATACAGCAAATGCAATTTGGCAATACATAGGCCAACCAGTGCAGTGTACTTATATGTAGACAAATTGAGTAAATCACAGGGCAGACATACATGAGCCAAAAAAAAAAAAAACAAGTCACAGTCACAGATCTTGTATAACTGGGAGAATTTTACCTGAACAAGGGGATTTTCTCGGTGCTTCCTGGATCTCGATACCGAGGGCAGTGCTGAAGAAGAAGAAGAGGCGGTACAAGAAGAGGTGCACTAAACTGCACCATAAAGCCAAATAGTTCACATTCAGAAATATATTATAATGCTGACTTAAAATTAAATACTTGATTAATAATTTCAAGGATTTCCCAAGATATGAATCTATCTACAGAGTGCTAGAACATTTCAGTGGATGCACAGCAGGAGACCAAAAAAAAAAAAAATCCTCACGCGCATTTCTAGCTCAACATAACATCTAACCAAATCCTTATGTAGGAGTACAATAAGTTAACATGCTTACATGACTGACTTTCTTGAAAAAAAAATCAACTTCCTATAAAGAATTATATTCGTCCATGAGCATAGCTTATATACAAGCGAAATTGATCCATGAAGACAACCAAATTACCAACGCATTATATGCAGGGCAGACATATAACAAATCAATATATAGCTTGCATATAAGGTGCACTGTACTTATTTGCAGACACACAAGATAGAAGTTTCCTCATGTGTATAACTTTGGCTAACACAAGTAGTTAGCACTAATGCTTCAGAATAATTGCTGCCATGATGCACATATTCAAGGAGTGTAGATGAAATCTCCAAATTGTAAAGGTCTCATAATTGAGGCAATAAAATACAGCTGTCCTTACAAGACAGTAAACATTGCGAAAACTACATGAATATATATGTAGACAGGTGTAAAAAAAAATCAGGTTAAATTTTTGTAGCATTGTATCTCTGAATCATGTTCACCTACTCCTTCTATCCTAAAAAAAAACAAAAAAAACAAACGAAATTCTAGGTTTGAATATTAGAATAGTTGGTTCTATCAGGACAGAGGGAGTATGTAGCTACATATTCAGAACAAAAAGCATCCTATGTAGTGTACTGACATGCCAACTACTGCAGTGGTACTTATAGGCAGACATATAGTAGCTTATAGGCAGGATTGTAAAAAATTAAAATAAAGTCACACTCACAGATCTGGCATAACCAGGATATTTTGACCTGAACAAGGGGGTGTCCTTGGTGGTCTTGATGGGTGCTGAAGAAAGAGAGGATGAGAAGAGGAGGGGGAGGCGGCGGAGGAGGCAGGGGTGAGGAGTCGGCGGCGGCGTGCGGGCGGAGTTGACGGCGGCGGCCGGCGGAAGGAGTTGATGGCGGTGCGGGTGGAATGGGTTTTGGCCCATGAAATTTTCCTGTGTTGACGCCGCGGCCCACGAAAACTCTCATGCCAAAATTTTTGCGAATTCCAGCAATTTGATTTATTTTCTGGCATAAACAATCTAGAGCAGATCAAATGACTAGTTAATTATTATTACTCCCTCCGTTCCGTTTCGTATTATAAGTAATTTAATTTTTTCAAAGCTTTTTTAGTTTGATCAAATTTACAGAAAAAATTAGCAACATCTACGATACCAAATTGATTTTTAAAATTTAATATTGAATATATTTGATAATATGTTTGTTTTGTATTGTGTTAGTATATTTTTCTACAAATTTAGTTCAATTTAAAGAATTTTGACAAGAAAAAAGCTAAACGACTTATAATATGAAACGGGGGAGTAGTAATCATTGCCCGTAGTGAATTTCCGGCAGATATAATGACATTTGTATCCATCCCTGGCTCTTGTTATATTTCCAGCAAATAATTCAACAACAAATCAATTTTTTTTTGTTCGCGCCAATTAATTGCTAGGTATACTGAGCTATGGTGTAGTGATATCGGTTGCTTACATAAGTTCTGTATGTAATTATTGCTAGAGCATGATGAGGTGGCATGTTTACATATTGAGCTTTAGAATTAGTGGGTTATAAATTTATACTAAGATAGGATAGGATTCTTGATGCTAGAGGGGTAGATATAGCTGTTGTCAGACATTACACAGAGAGTTGTACATCAATTAAGTCAACCTTTCACAACAATGAAGCCATGCATGCTATTGTTTGCGGTTTTATCATAGAGGAGCCATGATTTTTGCAAATGCTCATGATACCCTCTTTTAGCTAGTAGTAGACCTATTTTTAGTTTAATTTGCGATACTCTAGTTACTAATTGAAATAAGAAATTAGTGCGACATGCTGGCGGTATATGGCATTATTTGTAGAGAAATTTTATAGTTTTTAGGAAGTACCAAAGAGGTATATTTAGAAAGCTCCGTACATGAGGTATGGGAACATACTCAATTTTCTGGATAATGCTTCTCGTCGAACGTCCGAAGCAAGGAGAAAAATCGGACAACATCCTCTGACACACATACACATCTCCAACCATATAACATGCACCTTTAACGATATTTAAAACGAATTTTCTCTTAAATTATTTATCTAATGTACAATCCGATCATACCGTTGTATTCATTATAATTAAATCTTTACAACAAGATGTCGCATGATTATATTTCGATAAAATATAATCATATGTTTCAATCCATTAACACTTTTTGTTTCATACGTGATAGGGACATGTTTCAATATGTGTCTTTAGCGTGTTTCACAAAATTCACAAAATAACTGTTAGCTAGTTTCAAAACGATTTTTCTCTTAAACTAATTATTCAATCTACGATCCGATCACACCGTTGTATTCTTTGTAATTAAATTTTATAACAAGATATCACATGATTATATTTTGATGAAAGAAAAACATATGTTTCAATCCATTAACATTGGTTGTTTCATTTGTGATAGCGATATGTTTCAACGTGTATCTTCATCATGTTTCATAATTTTTTTAAATGTTTCAGTTACTGATTTTTGGTTTCACCCTATATAACTTGATGTTTCACTCGTTAGTTAACTGGAACATTTAACTGACCGATTCTTTTTTGCATGCTGCATACGTAGGTGGTGTAATGACGTGTAAACAGTTGGGCGTCCGATATTTGATGAAATATCGGACGTCCGACGCAGAGTCGTCTCCCAATTTTCCACTGTAAAATATGGTGCTCCCAAATACTTGTTGTTGTCCTAATTAAGATACTCGATTCTACGATTCTCTATAGATGGAACCTACGATTTTCATGTATACGATTTTGTAATACCGATTCCAATTCAACATCGCGAGTTAACAACCTTGTTTTTGGCACAACAGAAAAAAAAAGAAATAACTATATAACTTTCGACAAAAAAAATCCCTTTGAAATCTTTCGAATGTAACTGTAGTGTAACTATAGTACAGTTACACTGTAATACTATAGTATAACTCATATGTGACTTGTATATAACTCTGTCAAGAAACTAGCTAGTATGACTTGGTTGGCTAGCACCGAGAGGGCCTTCAGGTGCAAGGTCAAGGGTTCCAGCGTTGTATATCATTGCGTCACTCGCGTCAGTCATGGGTGCAGTGCTTGCCGGTGCCGGCTTAGGCTTAATTAGTTTGGTACCCTATGTTCCCAACACAACTCCCTCGTGTTCTGTGCGCACGTTTTTTCAAACTCCTAAACGATACGTTTTTTGCAAAAAGTTTCTAGATAAAAGTTTCTTAAAAAAAATCATATTTATCTATTTTTTAAAAAATAAACTAATATTAATTAATCACACGCTAATACAATGCTCCGTTTTCTATGCATAGGATATGTGTTCCCAACACAGGCTACCGAACACAGCCTTAGAGTGAGCCGGCGCATGAGCAGAGCAGGCAACCAGGATAGCTGCCCATTGCAAGTTTGATTTTTGAACACCAAAGAAGCTAAGGAATACATGGCCGGTCCTAAACTTGTGTGGTGGTGTCACTTAGGTCTGTGAATTTGAAAATTGCACATTTAGATCCGTGAACTTGGTTTAATGTACCACCCTGGTCCAAACGTTCTTTGACTGCGTTCGACTGCTAACATGGCATGCCACATAGACAATACTTTTGCTTTCAACACCCTCCATATCATAACACATCGCATATATCTCCTTGTAGCTATACAGTGACACTAGAATCCCCAAAAAAAATCCTCAAGTCGTTCTTCCCTCTCATTCTTCTCCTTGCATGTATAGAAAATACGGCCCCTGTTAGCAATTGCCATTGCTCTGCGCTCCAAAATGACTTTATCCTTGCACAACGGGCACTTGATCAACAACACCTTTTCCCAACGACTTCAAAACGAGGACGAGCTTGGAGAATCTATGGGGATGCCTAGCATGCAAGACGCATTACGCTGCCTCCCGCCGCTAATCCGGTCGCACTATGCCACCGCTAACCCCGTTGCATTCCGTTGTATCCTGCTGCTAATCTCACCGCCGAGGACGCCACAGCCGCTACCTCTTAGCCTCCTTCCGCTAATCTCACCGTCGAAACCCTAGCCGATTTTAGTGATATTGAAATGCACTGGTTAGGGCAAGTTATGTGCGAAGGTATATATGGAGGGGGCTGATCACAAAAGTGTTGCCTAGTGGTATGCCACTTTGGCGGTCAAACGTGGTCAAAGAATGGTTGGACCGAGCTAGGGTGGTACATTAAACCAAGTTCACGGATCTAAAGATGCAATTTTTAAGTTCATGGACCTAAGTGACACCACCCCACAAGTTTAAGTACCGGCCATGTATTTCACTCTTTATTTTATTTTATTTTATTTTGTGTTCTCTGTAAGCTTTGGCGTGTCTGTGTTTCGCTAGTCAAATTGCATCAAGAGTAACCTTAAAACCATAGTACCACATTACTTTTTATCATAGGCACGGCTCTTGTCAATGCCTATTTAGTGATATAGTCACATGATGTACCGAAAACTTAGTATTGTGTTTACTATCGACTCTGTTGATTAGCCATACCTCTTTTTTTTCCGTCCTCCGCCGGCCACTGGTTCAGCATTGCATTCAGAATGATTTCAGAGTACATCTGAAGGTGTGTGTGCAGTGTTCTGAGAAGGAAACTGTGCAATGCTCCGATGATGAAACTGACTTTATGTTGAGATATGGTGGATTTTTTTAATGTGGGTAGCGGGATTGCCCATTTACATCCTAATGTTGTCCTTGATGAGGTTATTTCTTCTCGGGGTTTTCTGGACAAGATACTTTTTTCAATTAATATTGAGCGATTATTTCTTAATTTGAATATATAAACAGATTTTGTCATGCACTACCTTTGTGTTAATTAGTGGTGTAGGAGTATCCGGAGGGCTTTCAGTATAGAACAGCAGAATCTATTGTCAGTTATATTGCTACAGCACATGGACGTCTTCAGAACATAAGTTGAAGAGTTAATGCAAATGACACTACAGTAGAATCGTTAGTCTGCACACATGCATGCGGGTTAACATCAATTCTTGAAAAGTTGTAATGCCTATTTAACACTCTTAATAATTTGAAAAAGAAAAGGTTATCAAGAAAAAATATAGATCTCGTCGAGTTATACAATTTTGTTATACAGAAAATTTAATTTCTCCATCCAAGATATTTTGGAAAATTCAAAAATTCGTTTTCAAAATATATTTGAAAACTTGTAATGCATATTCAGACATTTAAATGATATAATAAAAAAATGAACTATAAAGTTAGAGATCAGGTTGAGCTCACAACTTTAATATCATATCACTATCCGAGATCATTTGAAAAATTAAAAAGTCGTTTTTCAAAATAGATCTAAAAACTTGAACACATATTCATACATGAAAACAATTATAAATAAAAACATTATCAACTATAAAAAGTTATAGATCTTGATGAACTCTACAATTTTAATAAAGTTTATCTTCATCTAACTGTCACACCCCAATCTGATACCGCCGTACGACGGCACCTGACAGGAGCGTGTCGTAGGGAAAACGGCGCGAACCGCTTCCTACGAAACCGCGATCTCGGTACCAGTCCCAGGACATAGTGCTCGTACCCACGGTGACAAATATGAATCATAGCAATCCTTAAAATAAATAGAGGACTTATTTACCTTAACTTAGGTTGCAACTCAAACAGCCCGAGAATACAACCGACGACACGGACGAGGCGAACACCAACAACAACAGCAGCAGCGGAACCAACGGTCTAACACCCAATACCACAGGCGACGGCTGGGAACCAGGACGAAACCCTAATCTTCACTTCACCTCATCTTCAACTTCAGGGCGGAGGAACAATATATATTTATATAGAGCAAGGGTGAGTACTTTCGTACTCAGCAAGTCACGGGAATTTAGGTGTTTAATGCAAGCTTGGAAGAGAGGCAAGGTTGTTTTGCAAATCCTTTGTTTGAAATCATTTTTGAAATCACTAAGTGATTTACTTCTTGTTAGGTTTGGGTCGAAAAGAGACTTGCGTCTC